ATAGGCTTTAAAAAATATGTCGTCATGGCGACAAAGAACGGTTCTTTTTTATTACTTGGTAGAGTTTTAAAACACTTTGGTAATTGGCAAAAAACTGCGTGGTAAAAAGGCACTTCCAATGACAACGAAACGACAGCTCCTCGGTGATAGGTGTAGACTAAGAACTGCGCCCCGAAACAATATGTCTAGCAAGAAAAAGGTCCTGTTTATCTTTCCCTCAATTTCTAATGAAGTAAATGAAGCTATAAAACGTTCCTTAAAAAAGGTTGGTCTACAGAATGCGGTATCAGTGTTTCAAACATCACCGAACATTCTAAGACGCCAACTAGTCCGTAACACCCTGTGTGACCACCTGTGGATGACATAGAATTGCATAATACGCCGTTACGGTAGATATGGTGATTGTTGCAGTAGTTCGGGTATTGTGCAGCTGATCTTGTAAATTCCGCGAGGACGAATACGCTGGTGAAACGACTAGAAACCACTCTGCGTCCGTTTAAAAGGACAACTAGTTGAGTACCTTAAAGTTAGACAGAACACTCCACTAGGCACGTATAGGACACGACGGCATAACGCGGAAGATTTTGAAGTAGAAGTCACTAATAGAAGCAGAGAAGACCAAAAAATTAACGCGTAAAACACTCGAAGCATTCAGAATAAATTCCAAGAACCCAAAATGAACCTCAAGGGCGAATGCTCGCATTACCCACTCGTGTGAACTCTCCACAGCTGGTCTCCATTTTGAATACTCAGTAGAGGACTCATAGAGAGCAGTGAGTGTGTGGAAAAGCTGTTTTATGCTCAGTGAGACTGGAAATTAAGTATCACAGTTTTCCTCCTGAAGGTGTGGAGGTATTTGGCGGACTAGGTTGCGGTTAAGTTGACCTTTCCAAGCTCTGAAGAAGACGGAATCCGCAAAAACGTTTGTAGCTGTGGATAAGCACTGTATGATAACAACCTCGTGTGTGATTATCAAGAAAATAGCAAATTACTTTGCTTAGGGCTTATCGTTTGGAACGAACGGACATAGTAAAAACAGTTCTTTCCACTTTTGTTCAGCAAACACGAGGTGCTATTTTATTTCTTTATTTACGTAAAAGCTGACGTTTCGGCGGATTTCGCCTTCCTCAGAGCCTGGAAAGGTCAAGTTGACAGCAACCTATTCGGCCAAACACCTTCATAACCAAACAGAGAAAACGCTAAACCAAGAAAGAAAAGCCAAGTAGTAAAAACATCATAGTTCATTACCTCTCCTCTCATCACTTTCACACGAAAAGGGCGCTTGTGAGAAACATGTATCGAACAGCTACCAGCGTGTGCACAGGGAGACAGCAGAGAGAGGAGTCCCGGAACTTGGCGCGGCAAATAGCCATTTTTAATGACTACGAAACCGTAGCTCCAAATAGGTGTAGAGGAAACCACAGGTACCCCAACGATAACTCTAGCGACAACAAGGTCCCGTTTATATTGCCCTTTATTTCAAATGAAGTAAGTGCAGCTATAAAACGCTGTTTAAGAAGGGCCAGTCTAGAGAATTCGGTAACGATAATCGAAATACCACCGAATAATCTAAGGCGCCAGCTAGTTCGTAACCGCCTATACGACCGTCTATGTGCAACGCAAAATTGCATAATTTGCCCCAATGGTAGAGACGGTGACTGCATGAGTTCGGGTACAGTCTACCTGATCTCTTGTAAAGCGTGCAGGGACGAATACGTTGGCGAAACGGGTAGACCACTCTGCGTACGTATAAAAGGACACCTAGCCGGCAAACGTAAGCTAAGTACTCCACTAGGTACGCATAGCACGCAGAAACATAAAGAAGAAGATTTTGAAGTAAGGGTTACGATCCTCGTGCAAGAATCGAGAACACAAGCGCGCAAAACTCTAGAGGCATTCTGGATAAATTCCAAGAATCCGAAAATGAACCGCAGGGAGGAATGCCTTGTTATCACGCGTGATATTGGACAGTATATAAACTTGTTATTCTGATGGGAGGAGCACATTACGCTTCCATGTGAATTCTGTGCGGTCGGTCTTCACGCGACATACTCAGTGGAAGACATAGAAAGCGGTGAGTGTGCAGAGCCATGCTAAATGTGATTGAAATCTTGGTTTAGCGTTTTCTCTGTTTGGTTATGGAGGTGTTTGGCCGAGTGGATTGCTGTCAACTTGACTCTTCCAGGCTCTGAGGAAGGCGAAATCCGCCGAAACGTCAGCTTGTGCGTAAATAAAGAAATAAAATAGCACCTCGTGCTTGCTGAACAGAAGTAGAAAGATATATTCAATCAATGCCGAGGTTAATAGAAAGTCGGACTTGGGAGTTGCTAAACCAAGATTTCAATCACATTTTACACAGCTCTGCACACTCATCGCTTTCTATGAGTCTTCCACTGAGTGAAGACCGACCGCACAGAATTCACATGGAAGCGTAATGTGCCCCTCCCATCTGAATAACAGGTTTATATACTGCCCTATATCACGTGTGGTAATGAGGCATTCCTCCCTACGGTTCGTTTTCGGATTTCTGGAATTAATCCAGAACGCCTCGAGAATTTTGCGCGCTCGTGTTCTTGATTCCTGCGCGAGGATCGTGACGCGTACTTCGAAGCTCTCCCCGTTATGTCTCTGGGTCCTATGCGTGCCTAGCGGGGTATCTGGTTTATGTTTTCCGGCAAGGTGTTCTTTTATGCGGACACAAAGACGTCTGCCTGTTTCGCCAATGTATTCGTCTCCGCACGCCTTACAGGAGATCAGATAAACTGTACTCGAACTCATGCAATCACTCTCTCTACCATTAGGGCAAATTATGCAATTTTGCGTTGCACATAGACGGTAATATTGGCGGTTACGAACTAGCTGGCGCTTAAGATTACTCAGTGGCATTTCAACTACGTTTAGCGAATTCTCTAGACCCGCTCTTCTTAAGCAGCGTTCTATAGCTGCACTTACATCATTTGAGATGAAGGGTAGGATAAACGGGACCTTTTTGTCCCGTCATAGTAAAAACAGTCATGTAGTCCATACGTGTCATAAAACCTACTACTACGTATTGATACTACTGTGACTAAATAATGGTGGACGAGTGTTTGCTTTCACCTTACACAAGAGTTCGAAATGTTGCAAAAGCATGACAGAATACGTGATAAAACTTCGGGTAGACGGAAAACAAAACAAATGGTATCAAAGACCAAATAAAAAAGGAGTTACAGCGAAAATCACATCAGAATGGACAGGGTCATTTGGTGGTATGAGAAATAGACCGCCATGAGTTGGTATCAACTCATGGGAAGCGCGATGTAAAACAGGTGCGATAACGCACGCACTGAGTGGACGTCGCTTCCGAGGGAAGTGGATTGAACGGTTACTGGTTCGATCTCGTACCAGGCACAGCGAGTCTCTCATCCTTCCGGGGTCGGGAAATTGGTGCCGAGCTTGTCCAAAAGAAAAACTCTCTGCAATCGAAGTGAGAACGCCTAGCCCGCCTATCTCAGGATTCTACGGAGAATCGACTTGACCAGCATTCTAAGACGATAAAATAGAAATCCTCAAGCAACAACCGAAGATAGACGTAAAAGTTGAACAACTATTGTGGATGGTGGATGCGAGGAAACGAATTGAATGTGAGAAATGCTGGGATAATAGATAAAACACTAAGCGTGATAAAGGTTCGTATAGAAATAAAATGAAAAACTCCGGATCGCAGGTGTCTCCGGTGGGAATCGAACTTGCTATTACCCTTTCCGAAGGCGTTCACGACCACACCATGCGAGTCCTTCGTTCCTCCCTTTTCTCAGCCGTGTTATTGACTTGAATAAAATGAAATAGATAACACACATATTTCGACTACTGTAGGTCTTATTAGGTCTTGTAATATGGGTTCCTGGAATTGCGCAGAATTTGTGGCTTTCAGTTCGAGCGAGATTCACTGGGTTGCCTCGTAGCAGGGCCATGTATCTCCCCGTGTTCTTGCTCTTGAGTCCTACATATGAAAAAGGAATCCACGCTGCTTCTTCTCAAGCGAAAACTTGGAGTTTTGGATGGAAGCTGTGGAACGGAAGAAACTCGAGTGGAACATCTATTCGGTTTTCTCCCATATTTTCACTGAGGTATGGATTAACCTAAATTTACACAACAGTAGTTTCAAACGGTAAATTCGATGGTATGTCACACTCTTAACTTGCAACTCGGGAGCAGAAAAGCACTTCCATTATTACATTTATATCTCAACTTATACCACATCTCAATCTAAATGTCAAGTATACAGAGGAATACGCTAACGCACTAAATAAGTGAGTCTGGTTCTCCCTTCATGAGTTTATGAATAGCAGCTGGAGCGTTTGGTGCAGTGATTAGAGGTTCCCTGCAAGGTACATTGGGTCTTCAGTTCGATCACGACTCCGGCATCATCGAACCCTCAATCTCTCTGGGGTCGTCAGATTGGTTCCAGATTTGTCTGGGAGAATAGCATTACTGACTCGATACATCGGTAGGCCAACTCAAGTCATTGTATATCGATAAAGGATAAAGCTCTAGGCGTTGATCAATCCCTGAGGGATGCGCTATGCATTCGACTTCATTAACCACACAATGACTCGCGATGGTCTACCGATTTATCCAGCAAGTGCTGCTATCCTCCGAGATAAGTCTGGTACCAATTTGTCGATCCCGGAAAGATGAATGACATGGGGAATCGAGGTCATATGCATCGCAGGGCACGTCCAACCACTGCGCCACACCCGCCCATGTACGACGATAAGGTAAAACTCAATCTGAGGCGTGAAGTTAAGAACATCGTACGCAACTCATTTTGTCGACGTCTACAAACCCTTGGGAGGCCATGTAATCTCGCCATTCCCTGTTGAATTTGCACAAGGACGTTGCTTTTTGTTGCTTCCTGGTTTGCTCTGCGTCAGACTCTGAATGGCAAGGTTTCTAGAAGATGAAGATGTCGTTGAGTTCGAGGCGTCATGCGGTGCTGTTTAGGTCTCTTCATTCCTATGAATAGAGAAGACGTACTCATCGAAGAAGCAAAGAACTTCCTCGTTGAGGCCGTGAACTACGACAAAAATGGAAAGCCGAATGACGCTCTGACTCACTACATGCATGGGATTGAACGACTCGACAAGGCGGTCAAGTAAGAGTTGGTGATTTTTTCAAGCACCAAAAACGAAGCGAAAAAAAGACCGTTTGAAATTTTTAGTGCGATCTTTATCATTCCATTGCCAGTGGGTTTTTTCAGTAACTGCTGGTAATTTTTTACAACGAGAGTGTTCAAGTTGTTGAGAGCCTACAAGGTATCTCTAAGAGAGTTCATTGAGTCGCTCTCAAGTGTAGTGTCGGTTTTAAATTCTTAAGGACTTTAGTATTTAAAGGATTGAAAGCAAAAGTCGAGGTTTTAATGTTTCTGACGTAACGACGGCGACCGCCAACGCAAACGATGCATTGGGAAACACCGTAGTGTCATTTGCCACGAAGTGCCAAGTGCCTAATCGCTTTTGTGTCGAATTGGGAGCGTCGACGAGAAATCGTCTTAGCAGCCTAAAAAAGAAAAGTTACTGACAAAGATCTTTTGACTTTAATGGTTTTTACCTATGCTACTGTGTCTTAGTGCGTCGGAGTCGCGTTGCATGTAGAGACAGACACTTTCAAGTCTTTTTTTTTGTTGAGAAATGATTTTCAGGTTAATGTCTTTAGAGGATGGTCGAAGAGGTCCATTATATAAACAGATAGCGCAGTACATATCACGGGCGGAGCTCTTGAAAGCCGCTACCAAGATTGAGGTTCGCAATTTTGCACTCCGGTGAAGTTTCAGTTTGCTTTCAATGCATCTTTTTTCTATATTATAACATTATACTTCTTTCTCAGTATTGAAACGTCTAGGTCAATGTGTTGGTACTTGAATTTAAATATTGTGAAAAGGAGGCGCAAGCAAATGTCAAAGTTCTCTTTCCTTCTGTAGGTTCTTCATCATATATCGTCCAGTTGTTTTGGAATCTCTCACTTCTCGATGTCCCCGTTACTGGGTTTGCTTATTACTTGGGGATTTTCTGTCCATGGATGCCGTAAGTGCTAGTCGGATTGATTCAAAGTGGAATCCTGGTGTAGTTCTGCGAGAGGGTTCATACCTCTTCACCACAGATTCATTAGACCAGAAGGAGCTTCTTACACACAAGTTTGGTGACAATTTGCCTTGGCAAAAGGAGTGGTGTTCTTGGTTGCTTGAGGAATTTCTTTATAGTGTCAGCGTTTTCGAGTATGGATGTTATGTTTAGGCTTTTCAAACCCTCCCATACGTTGGATATTTGCTCAAAATTCGTCATTTTCCGTTCACTCTGTGACAATTCCGAGGAAAATGGAATTTGTTGAATGATTCAGCGATGCAGCCTTTTTCGAAATCTTCGCGCGTTGTGAGTGGGGACTTGCAATATGTGTTTTCCTCAGTTCATGAATGGTTAACACATTTGCCGAAAGTGCTTTCCCGATATTTGAAATAGAGGCTGTTAGGATTTAAGTTTTTTGACAGTGTGTTTTATAACATTTCCAAAGTGGCGTTTTCATCTTTTGAACATAATTCTCTTTTTTCGTGAAACCGTATTTCGAGCGAAGCGACCGGCACAAACTTGATTCCGTCGAGTAGGGTTTTATGCTGTCGTGTGGCTATCTCTCAGGGATTGATCAACGCCCAGAGCTTTATCCTTTATCCTTTATGGCGATTGAGCAAGGTCTGTTCCCAATAGTCAAACTAGAAGTCATTCTTTGTCGAACCAGCTTTTTATGACTGACAGGAAATCGTCCTAAGATGAGCTTGAATCTAAGACCCATACTCCTATCATGTTTGTAAATAATTCTGGAGTTTTCAAAATATACAACGATTTACACTGTTTTTTCGTCAAACGTTTTCATTCTTCATATGGTGAAAGATAGAGGAGATGATAGGATTGAAATGTAAACGTCGTTCTTTCAGGTTGGCTTCTTAGAGCAGCGAAAGATAACGGCAAATAGTGTGGGTCATGGTTACGATAAAATTTTCGGAAAATGTTTGGATGATGGTTTAACTGGTGTACATGTTCAGGATGCATACATTATTTCCCACCATCAGGTTGGTGGAGGTTTTAGAAAATATTGATTTTCTTTCTTTTATTGGTATTTGTTTAGATCCTCAATTTCATTCAATTTTGTGAGCTTGTTGTTAGCAGAGCACCGAATATCCGCTATATAAACTTATTGACCGGAACAGAAGCGAAGAATAATCAAGATGCATTTAACGAGCTCCGTGATAGCCTTGAGAAGGTGAATGTTCTTCTGAAAGTGGAATTCAGTGCTTCCATTCATGATAGGGAGATCAGGTATTTATCAGTGTTGTACTTCCCATGTTAGTAAAGTGGTTGAATTGCTTCATTTCAGGTTTAACAATGGATGGATTGTCAAAATAGGGCGGGGTCTAGACTATTTTAAAAAACCTGGAAAATATGTTTTGGGTGCTTCTGATTTAAACTTTAGACAATGTCATGAGACTACTGTTGATATTATGAAAGTGAAAAAATGAACGCATTCCATAATATTCTGTGGATATACTCTCACATAATAAATCTCAAACCATGTCTTATTGTTTTTCGTTGACCTTTGGAATCATCCAAGTGAACTTTGTTGAGCTTTTATATGCTTTTATCGTATTATCTTTAATTATCCGTCTTCTTAATATTCCATTTCGTGATCTTGTCATGTTCACTTTTCTGGTAGTTTCAGTTCAGTTATTTGGGTACACAATCAACAATGACGAAAATTGAGACCAGCAAGGCGGTGCGTGTTTAATTGAATTCGTTTCTTAATATTGGTTCACTTTGACTCGATAGTGCTATTGGTTGTTGTTTCACTAGAAAACGGACTTTCAGTTTAACGACTACAAATTGGAGCTATTTAAAGAAGCTGAACGAATTGTCATGGAAGAGTTTCCAAAGAAGGTTATAGAATATGACAATCTTCTCAAGGTATTTGTTATTTCATGACTTCGGTCTCATGTCTTAAGTGACCTCCAATAACCAATGAACTTCTGAATTATTGAGCAAACACGAGGTTGATAGTAAGTTTTGTTCAGCAAACATTTCGACGTCTTCGTCTTCTTCGGAACCGAATTAGTCCGACTGCATAGGCACAGGTTGTCATCCTTGTTATGTGGGTGTTCGTAGTCGCATCGAGTTGAATCCAGTGAAGTGGAGCACCGCTCGAACGAGGATTCCCATTCGACTCGGCGCGACAACAATTGCCACATCGTAAGGTCGACAAACCGTAGCCCATCGACTTGGATTATTCCCGCTGTGAACAAGATGGAGCAATCGAAACGTTGGCTCAATAAAGCTTATTGCTAACCTCGTATTTGCTTAAAAATTGAAAAAAGTGATTGATTTTCAAGACCGACTTTCTATTAACCTCGGCATTGATCAAAAATTCGCTGTTTTTTCGATACACACGCAGGAAGTTGTTAGTATACCATTTACTTACCCACAAAAGCTGACGTTTTGACGGATCAGACCACAGGAAGGTCAAGTTAACTGCAGCCCAGTTGATCAAGTACCTTCACAACACGAGCAGAGAAGCCCAGGTTCCTAGAAATTGGTAGCAGTGTTTGCAATACCATCGATTTCTCTAAACCTCAACTAGTTCGTAAACTCTTGTATGACCATCTCAACCTTTTTATTTGTTGCCTATTCTTTTTAATGGCAGGGTATGTTGCGAAATATAACTCTTATAATGCTGAGATATTTGCAAAACTCCGGACCGCAGCTGTCTGCGGTGGGGAACGAACGCGCTATTGTCCTTTCCGGGGAGTAACGCGTTCACCACCACACCATGCGGGTCTTTCGTTTCGCCTCTCTCTCAGCTGGTTCTATCACCGGAAAGGACAATAGCGCGTTCGTTCCCTACCGCAGTCACCTACCGTCCGGAATTTTGCAAATATGTTGTCGACTGTTTGTAAAAAATAAAAAATTGAACAATTTGCCATAGCTGTAGAAACGATGATGCATGAGTTCGGATAAGAACTACCTGTTTTCTTGTAAAGCGTGCGAGGACGAATATGTAGGTGATATAGGCTGAGCACACTGTTTCCTTTTATCGGGACACCTATATGGTAACTGTTTAGTTAAACCAAATACTCAGCTAGACAGGTATGGGACACAGCGACATAACGGGGAATATTTTGATGTGGAAGTCGTAGTCCTCTCACAGAAATTTAAAACTTCGACGCGTAGAACCCACGAAGCATTCTAGGTAAATTCCAAGAATTCAGAAATTAACCGCAAGGGGAAATGCTTCGTTACCATACGAGATCTTTCAGAATATCTCAGACATATTTCTACATCAGAGTAGCTCATTACCCATACATGTGAACTCTGTGCAGTTGATCTCCGCGTGGAAAATTCAGTTGAAGACTTATAGAGAACGATAAGTAGTTGAGGAGGCTATTTTAGATACAATGCAGTTAAAAATGAGATGTTGTGGCTTCCCATTGGCTTTTTTAAGGTGTTTGACTGACTAGGTTGCAGTTAACATGAGTTTTTCAGGTCTAAAATCCACCGAGTTGTCAACTTCTGTGGTTAAATAAATGGTATAGTAGCAACTTCTTAAGGGGCGTGTGTAGTGCAGGGTCGGAAACGTCCTGCATTACATACGGGTTCGATCCCCGCTCCTCAGCCTCATCAAACCCTACATCTCTCCGGGGTCGGCATTGGTACTAAACTTGTGTGGGAGGATAGCAACACTGGCTGAACACATTCGGAGACCGTCGCGAATCATTGTAAAGGTTAGATATGGGTTCAGTCATCTCCAACGATACTTAATGAAATCGACTGTATGGTCTCAGGATTTGATCGGTCTTGAGAGCTTCATCTTTTATTTTCTAACAGCTCATGCTGTCATCATGAAAACAGCAAATTACTATTTATGCCGAAGTTGAATGAAAGTCGATTTTTGGAAACTCTCTAATGGCTTGTTTTTTCTGCAAGTTTATTGTTATAGACTTATCGTTTCTCGTACTCCCGCTTACCAGAAATGATTCCGGACCCAGATTTAAATATCCCAGTGCCTCACGTTATCCATTCGGTACGAGTTTGTATACTCAGGCAGTTTATGGCGTTTGTGAACATAACTTCAAGGTTTAGAGCTCTATGGTGGATCAAGATGCACCAGTTGTCAAAAAGAGAAAGTTTGATGAGGTTCATGGGGAATGCCATAACGGTAATGGTAACGTTCTAATATTAATTGTTCAAGAAATATTTCATCGTTTTTTAAAGTTTGGAATAATTGTCGGTGTTGTTCATGCTTTGGTTATATGGTTTTCAAATTGGCACATTCTTAGGCATACCTGTCTATGGTTTCATCAATGGTAGTGTGCCCTGTAATTCTCAACTTGCTGACCTTATGGACCAGATTCGTCCACTATTAAGGGATGCTGTAGAGAATGTCAACAAGGTAAATTTCATCCTATTTCGGCTTAAGATGTATTAAGGCGAAATTTCGTCTAATTTATTACCTGATCTCGTTTCTGAATGGTTCTTTAGGACTTACTTTGTTGCAGGTTAAGATGTGGATAACCTTGTTAATCCCTCGTATTGAAGATGGAAATAACTTCGGAGTTTCCATTCAAGAGGAAACTCTAGGCGAGGTAACTATCAACGATCACCTGGCCTAAGTCAAAGTCAAAGTCCTGATAAATATAGGTTCGCAATGTGGAAAGCGAAGCAGCGTCATTCCTTGATCAAATGAGCAGATATTTTGCTAGTCGAGCGAAGCTACTCACTAAGGTGATGTCTGTGCTTTGTTTCACTTTATTATCCATTGCTCAAATTGAAATAGGGTGTTTTATAAGTTTCCAAAGTCGAAAGAGATTTTTACCTTTTTCACATTATTGTTGAAACTTCTTCCTGTCTAGGTCGCGAAGTATCCCCATGTAGAAGATTACAGGAGAGCCATCCTTGACATGGACGAGAAGCAATTCATTAATGTCAGGTGAAAAGTTTCTTCTCTTAGTGCGAAACGTATATCCCTAGATTTTTACTCTTTCAGATTGGTCGTTCTGGAGATGCGGAATCATTTCTCTACACTTTATGATCTTATAACGAAGAATATTGAGAAAATTAAGAAGCCTCGAAACAGTAACATGGAAATGCTGTATTAGGTTTCACTTTTACGCACTAGGAGTGCTTTCGGCCTTTTGTAAGTCTTGTAACTCATCGTCATATTTTCTTACCTAATAGTCCTCCCTCTTAGCTCTTTTTCGTTAATTTCTGTTTACCGTCATTGTTGACTGTATAGTGGATAATTTTACCCCCAGTTTGGTCTGTCTCAGTGTTTCCCGATCTGTGTGGCTATGTATATTTCACCTGTATTCTATATTTAGTTCAATCTAGTTCACTAAGAGTTGGACAAAATTCTGGGGATTTCTTGAAGTTGCCTTTGGTTCCATAAACACCCGTGTCAGAAATGGCAGTCAAATATTTTTGTCTCGTCTTTATGCGTATTGATTATTGATTGATCACTTGTTGTTCTTCTATTGATAAACTCAATTCTGTTTCTTTGTTTATACTTTTCGCTTGCTCGCAAGGGTGTGGCTCCTTCGTTTTATTGTAATAGCGCACAATATTAAGTGGGCAGTTCCATTCAGTTGATTATTTATGACCTCCATGACACACACTTTGTGGTTATGAGATGCTTAGTCATATGTGGGGTGCCTGCCCAGCTGAATATTTTCAGGACATATTAGTAATATACAATATAGGCGCGTGTAGCGCAGTGGTAGAGGGCGCCCTGCAGTACACATGGGATCGATCCCTGCCCCTAGGCCCACCAACTCCTTCATCACACCGAGGTTGGCGAATTGGTACCACACTTGTCTGGGTGTGTAGCAGCACTATCTCGATGCATCAGTAGGCCATGGCGAGTCATTGTAAAGGCTAAATATGCATTCCATCACCTCTAACGATGTTTAGTGAAGTCGAGAGTCGAGTGCATGGCGCATTGGTAAACGGATTTGTTAGGAATTGATCAACGCCGAGAGCTCTACCCTTTGTCCTTATTGCACGGACGAATTCTATGTATACAATTGCTCTTCCTCGAAAAACACAGACAGCTTTGTCAGCAGCTTTATTAATAGTGTTTCCGATTTTATCTATTTGTTTTAGATCATATGAGAGACATCGATGACTTGGTTTTCACGAATATTCAATATTCCGCAATATGCTTGGCAAAGGTTAGTATTAGAAGTGGTCATTATGTTATCATGGGTTTTCGTTACTAAGCATGTTCGACTGTACACCAATTTCCATTTCAAGTTAAGCTTTACACTCGCTTCGTATGAAAATGTTTCCATTCTCCACATTTCTTATTTTCCCAGTATTACAATGCTAATAGTGTTCAAGATTTTTCGAGTGTTGTGTTCTCAGGACTACCTTTGTCAAAGGAAAGTAACTAGATGAGTTTAGGTTGAGAAAACGACCTTGACCGATCTGAGACGGTTGTTGCTGAGTGGGCTTTCCGATGATCTCGAATCACAACCTTTGAACCACAATGTTCGGTCCACACTCATTGGCATTGGGAATTTCCTGCTTTACTCACATGGAAAAGTAATTCCGTTTTCTTATGATAACAGTACCTAACTTGCATCTGGTGTTTTACAGAGCGACCTCATTGGACCCTCCAATTTGCTTTCTACCTTTTCAGTTTGCGAGTGAACTGGTTCCACTGCTGATAACTGCGCTTGGTATTGTACCACAGATGAAATGGATTGACGATGGTCTTGTGAATAAGTCTGACAGTTGGTTCTTTGTGTAACTCAGTCTTCTTCATTACAACCTTAATGATTTTGTTCCTCACCATAGCAAGGGGGTACTCTTGGAAGTCGAACTATACAATGATGAAATAGCTCTGTTTTCCAGCAAGACCACTGAAGCTGAAAATAGCTTCGATGTTTCGATCAGAAACTCCAGCTGTGAGTTAAAAGTGCCAGGAATGGCTTCAGTGAAATCTTCCTATTGGAGAGAAGAAGTCTCCGCCCTATCCAAAAGTTTTGGGGACTATTTGTGGTGATGGGTGTGAAACAACCACCTTTGGTTATCTTCAGCTTCCATAAAAGCAAATTTACTACAGCTGGAAAATTAATATTCAAGTGAAAAATTTACTGATGTGCCCACTATCTCTTAATGATAGCGTAGCTATCTTTTGCTTAGGAACGTATAAATTTGTTTGTTGACGGTTTCAGGAATCCCAGTACAAGAGCAGTTTGCTTTCTGTTTTAATACAGTGCTTTCTGACCTTGCTGCACATTTACCTGACTATCGAGATGCCATCGTCAGCGCTCAGGTTACTGTTTTTTCACGGCGTCTCTTTTCAATGAAGTCGTTTACTAACATATAGAAACCAATCTTGTTTCCTTTTGTCTTGCATTGGACGGGATATTTCTAACTGCATAAGGTTAAGGATTAAGGGTGAAGGTGCGTGTGGCACAGTGGTTGGAGGCGCCACTGCTACACACACATGGAATCGATCCCGGAGCCCATGTTCTTCCATGCCTTCCATCCTTCCGGGGTCGGAAAATTGGTACCGGACTTCTCTGGGAGGATAGCAGCACTGGCTCTATACATCGGTAGGCCACCAGGAGTTATTGTAAGTGGCGGATATTTCAATCACCTCCAAACGATGCTTAATGAAGTCGAATGCATGGTGCAATGCAGTCGAATCTCTCAGGGACTGATCAACGCCGAGAGCTTTATCCTTTATCCTTTTAAGGTTTAAAGAGGCGATTTTTTCTGATGTGAAGACATGTTTGTTTTTCCCATACCGTAGTGATCATACAACAGTTTGTTTTTTTCTTTTTTCTTTTTTCTTTCTTTTTTTTTTCGAGCCTTCTAGTTTTAGATAGATGCACTTGCGTGTGCGGTTGCCTCCATTGTTGAAATACTGGAGGATCAGGAAAACGTAGGGCAATTAAAAGGTATGTGATAATTCTTGTTTTTGTTTAGGAAAGGGCTTGTCAATGAGGTTGGTTTCAGCCCATCTGCTTAAATTGACCTGCTACGTGCTGGGCCTACTCCGCTCACTTGGAAGGTATTCGTCTAGCAGCAGCAGACCGCTTATTTCACTTGTATTTCCCGTAGGTTTCGACTTACCTCCTCAAGGAATGGCAAAAATTGCTAAGAACGAGTACGTTTTTAGTTTATAGTGTATTTGGTTTACCGTCTGTTCTTTAAGCGATATCGTCTTAGTTTCCTCTGATACCAACACTGATAATTTCTTCACAAGCCTAATTTCATTAGGGAATCCTTATTAGTCTTGCTATGTAACATAAAATGTGACACTTGCGATCCCTATGCAAATGATTTGGACTTAAGCACACAACCGAAACTGTGTTTCGAAAATGTTAATCGATCGGGGTCTTTTTGTGTTGCAAAATGAGCGTAGCCCAGCTAAGAGTAAACCAATACCAGGATCCACCATCGTGCTGGTATCAAACTAGTCGCATGGTGGCAAATTTTCGTTTGATTCACAAGAATTGCGACTGTCTGTGGCTGTGACAACCTGGGGCACATTGGTCTGGCAGATCTCGGGACTCTAGGGAGCCACAATAGCTAAGTAAGCAAAACGCAGTGAAATTTGAAGTTATGCTGGGGCCCACAAAACCAGTGAGTGAGCCATACAAGTATCCAAGTAAGTAAAAGTAAGTGAAATTATATCGAACTATGGGCGTATAGGACTTGACTACGAGATCATTTCGAAATCTCATGTGGTAAGCTGCATATTTTTTAATATGAATGTCGGCATAGGATTGAGCCGACCTTAAATCGGTCTGCACTCATACTTGTCAAACGTTTTTTTACCAGACGGAAAGTGTCGGAGCTCTTGCAATCAGTTAGGTCTAGCCAGCATCATGTTTTGAAAGAAGTTCTAGGATCACATCTATTATCAGAATGGATAATACGGAGAAACAAAATATTTTGGCTGTATACTATGAATTGATTAGAATTTTTATTGACGTACGTTGGATCTTCTCAGTGGAATGTGCGCTTCATTTTCCAGTATTTGTTGCGAAAGTGCTAAAGTAAATCATATTTTTCGTATTTTCCTGTATGTTTTAAATTCATCAGTGCTCTCATATCTGTATTTATTTATAGTTTCGAGACACCTCGAATAAATCTTGCCGACGAATGGTCATCGTTAGACGGTGGAGTTCAAGGTATAGATAGAGAAGGGATTGCTGTTGAGCACGGAGCCAAGCTCTATAACACGTACGGAGCGAGTTATGTCTGTTCCTACAATAAAGCAGACGGAAAAAGACTGTTCACAATGACCACCAAAGAGTTAGAATCTATTTTCGACGCGGTAAGTTGATAGTTCCTCATTTCCGCTTCCTTGTCCCCGTTCCGCTCTCTCTCCCTCCCCCTCTCTGTGTGTAATACGTACTATGTATAATAATGTATACTGTTTTTGTACATACATTGTTGTGTGTATTTCTTTCAGGTACAGCAACTCTTGGGTAAAGATGTGCTTTTGCAGCTGGACAATCATTCCACTGATGTGTATACAGTAAGTATACATAAGTTTCATTTCATTTTTGTAAATACAGCAGCAAAAAACGTGCTGCCATGGAATTTTAAGATGTTCGCACGTGTTCCTGCTTGTACACTTTTTGCGTAATAAGGCAGCTGTCACCAAATATAGTTTATTCTTAACTCTTGTATTTACTACCTTTTTCTTCTTAATGGCAGGGTATGTTGTGAAATATAGTTTATTCTGTTTCGAATCTGCCTTCTTATTAAAGAGCGCCCTGACGTATTTTATACTGCATTTGACTGTCGGCTTTCAAACGACGGCCACCAGGTGATACGTTTAAATTAAAGGCAATTGTTTACCATCCTCGAAGACCAGCCTCGCTTTGCCTGTCAAAAAGGGTTAGTTTCGAGCGTATTTAATAGTTATTTAGTACCAAACGTATATCTTGTTTGGATTATGATTGCTCAAGCATGCGGTGTTCTGTAAAGGAGGATAAACATAACGCGTTCGCCACTCATCAAATACTGAGGAATGCGCAATGCAATGAATCTAGTAAAAGGTTATAGAGGTGATTAAATGCGTATTTCGCCTATACAGTAACTAGCGGTGCCTACCAATATTGGGTCAGTGGTTTCATTCTCCCCATACAAATCTATTAACAATTTGCTGAACCTAGAGTGATTGAGGGTTTGATCGTGTGTATATGGAAAAGCACATCTAACTACTGCACTACACGCGTCCTCAAAGGATGTTCCATGTGTGTAAGGAATACTTCTTTCACTCAGTATGGTCACGTGGATCGGCAACCTGTTGACTGCCTTTGGTGGAGTAGTAGCGGAATAGTCGCAATGTTATCAGTACACAACTCATATCACGTGGGTGTGTCTGTCGGCTCAGAATCGTCATCTTTCAAACTATAACCTGGCATTTCACTCGAACCCTGCCGCAATCTCTAGTGATTCTACTATGTTCAGTTCTCTAGCTCACGTAGATTATCATAAGAGTGTTATCCTCTCTACACAGTGGTCGGAGTCTGGTATTGAATATCTAGATTGAAGCTCAATATTGACTCAAGCATACAAGCATAAAAAAATAATCCGACGTGTAAGCAGTCACCCACTCAGGACAAAATTGACCCAAGAAAAGTTAATCGAAATCAACCAGAGGCTTCCATGACTCAACTTTTGTTTTTCTCTGCCACTGTCTTTTCAATCTGCCACCGAAAATTCGCTTCATAATACGTTATTGGAACGCAAATCATAGTAGCTTCACATCGTATATAGCAATTAATCGGACTTTCGGGATCAATAGGCGGAACTAATTCCTATATATGATGAAAGTCTTTCTAATAGAATTTGGTTTGGTTTTGAATAGCTAATAATTATAAAAGTTTTAACCCTTTTATTTACTGCCTTTTTCTTTTTAATGGCAGGGTATGTTGCTAAATATAACTCGTATGAAGTGCTGAAATATTTGCAAAACTCCGGACCGCAGGTGTATGCGGTGGGGAATGAACACGCGCTATTGTCCTTACCGGGGAGCAGCGTACTTCACCACCACACCATCCTGGTCCTTCGCTTTGCCTGTCTCTCAGCTGTCTCAATAAAAGGGTTAAGATTGTGATTATAACTAAGCCTCAGCTTAACTGAGTTCAATGCGGATTTGGGCTGCCCAGATCAATCCCGTTGACGGGTGATTGCTGATGGCAAAAAGATCGATAGAACTAGCTGAGAGACAGGCAAAGCGAAGGACCCGGATGGTGTGGTGGTGAAGTGCGCTGCTCCCCGGTAAGGACAACAGCACGTGTTCATTCCCCACCGCATACACCTGCGGTCCGGAGTTTTGCAAATATGTCAGCATTACATACAAAATATAAAAGTGTTTTTATGTGGGGAGGAGAGGAAGAATTTTGTTACCAACCATTTACCTTCGTCTCTTATCTGCAGCATTGTGATTTTCTCTGTTTAGGGCTCTTTTATCAAACGATTTCCGTATAAAACTGTGAGTGAGACGCTGACTTTTACATGTCTTTCGTTGCTACGAGAGGTATTACGACCATTTTCTGTGGTCAATAAGAACTGCCCAGTCAAGGAATACTTTGCTAAAGAGGTTTGATGTTTCCACTTAGACATTCGAGTAACGACAGAGAAACTTGACAATATTTTCCTTATCTTCTTTTCAGCTTAATGCTTTTGTCGTAGAATTGCTGAATACGCTGGGGCCTCAATGCCTTTCCTTTGGGGAACGTCGGTTGGGCAGCGGTCGTCGATCTACCGACCAAGAGTGTTCTCGTCAGAGCATGTCCATTTTAGCTGCAACCTGTGCTTTAGAATTGGTAGTTTGGGCAGCAATCGATGATATAGGTATTATTTTGAAAATCGAACTCTGGATATTTAACCTTACCCATCCACATAAAGTTCTTACCGTGGAAAAATGGTGTTAGTTTTCAAGTTTATGCATTTGTATATATCATTTGCATGCATAAATGCACATACATATATATATATATATGTATATATATATTACGTATTTACTTGAATGCTGGGTTGGCCGTCCTCACAGATTGTACGGACCGCAGCTTATTCTCCACTTTTTCGGAGTTTTGCTGGTTTAGCTGTTGTGTTTCTCTGGAGTCCTCAGGTAAGCCAGGCCAAAGTCTGCCCCAGGTCGTCACCACCACGGGCGGCGCCATCCTTGTAGATCAGAGAGAGATTTGCCACAATGCGAGTGCTTTGATACCATGACAGTGACGGATCCTGGTATTAGTTTACTCTTAGCTGGTCTTCCTGAAAGAAACGCCGGACCCAGCTTGGGAGACTGCCAGGGGAATGAATTCCTTCGCTTTACCTCACAGCCCAACACCCATGAAAACCTCCCAGCTAGATGAGACAGTAAGCCGTTGGGATATATATAGAAAGGATGGAAAGGATAAAGATGTCGGTGTTGATTAAGCCTAAGGAATGCACCATGCATTCGACTTCACTAAGTGTCGTTGGAGGTGATTGAATGCATATCCGATCTTTACAGTGACTCGCAGTGGCCTACCGATATATCGAGCCAGTGCTGCTATCCTCCCAGACAAGTCTGGTACCAATTTGACGACCGCGGAGGGATGGAAAACTTAGTGAGCCATGGGCGCGGGGATCGATTCCATGTGTGCGTTGTGTGTGTATTTTTACCCTTCCTTTAAAAAATAGTAGGCAGTAAATAAAAATTGAGAAGATTGTGATTTCGACTACAGCCTCAGTTTAACTAGGTTCATTGCCGATTTGGTCTCCCCAGATCAATCCCGTTGACTGGTAATTGCTGATGGCACGGATCGATAGAACTAGCTGAGAGACATGCGAAACGAAGGACTTGCATCGTGTAGTGGTGAACGCATTAGCCCCCAGAAAGGGTAATAACGTGTTCCGGAGGCACCAGCGATCCGGAGTTTTGCAAATATCTGTCTATACATCGTACATGAATCTACTTCATTTAACCTCTTCGAGTGGTTGCAGATATTACTGGGTTCGGGTTAATAAAGTGAAAATCATGAGTTGTCATATGAAATGCAGCTCCATTTTAATCTTATTTCCTAATGTGGTAGAGAAATAGGTCACTTTTGGTGTTCAAAAAAGCGCTCAGGCTGGTGTAGTGCAGTGACTAAAGGGCGTGTAATACGCACATGCCGTTGGTTCGATCTCTTGATGTGAGCTTACAAAACTTCTCATCTCTCCCGAATTGGAAAATTGATACCAAGCGTGTCTGGGAAATTAACGCTGACTTGATACCCCGGTAGGCATGATAGCCATTGAAGAAGTAAAATATACATTCATTTGACTTTACTTTTCCCAGTGTTGTCGAATACACTCTGCATTCTTAAGGGTTTGATTGACGCATAACGTTTCATACTTCTAGAAGAGAGCAGAAAAGAGTCCTGGATGGCGATCTTGCTGCGATTCGTTCACTTCATTTGACACATGTTTACCGATGTTTTTAACCCTTCGGATGGTTTCCCAATGTCTAACACCTGCTGAGCTGTGAGAGTTGTTTTTTTCCAACCTCTCGAGCTATTTTTGTGCTAATGAACACCGATGATTCGCCTGACATGGTTGCTGTCATCTGCTGACTGGCTTCCGTAACCTTCTGAGTCATGAACATCCATATCATAACACAAAACATTTCGAACTGTCAGTGCATTTCGCGTTCGGACATCCTTCCCTTGCCCATGATTTGATGAAATTTCAAGGAGCTGCCGTTCTCTTCATTTCATAATTGAACTCTTGACGCAAAGCTATAGGATTATTATGCCTCAGAATCATAATTAAACCAGCATAGAATCGTTGTGGACCAAATTTTAGAGAAGAATATTCTACAGCAAATTGTTAGTGAAGAAATAAGCTTGACAGTGGTATAGTAACAGTGTAAACAACAAGTACATTACATTTACACTGCATACCACAATTTCATACATTTTTTAACGACGAAGATAGGCATTATTTCCGTACTTGCCTTTGCTCGTCAAAAGACTTCATGTCGTGTTTTCCAGACTCTGATGCGGTTTGTTCTACGATGTCTGCCCGTCTGTTCACCGTTAACGCAGGACGTGTTCATCTTTCACAGCTGCCTCTAGCACTAACAGCGCTATCTTCTCTTGGAGGTTTCTTTTTCTCGCTTCCTACGTTTCAAATTTACATTATTATCATTTGCATACGTCAGGATTGGCAGAGAAATTTCCGTCAGTTGCAACTGCAACCGTCGTTCCGATTCTCTCACGCTTTCTTCTCGAACCATCGCCAGTTCTGACCAAACTTTCGGCGGAAACTGTGTGTTGTTAAACAAAGTAGTACCATTATCGAAATACTGATATGAGTAGAATAGGTGTCTGTTTTAGTCGGCTGAGAAACGCAACGAAGAACGTCGTCAAGAAGAAAGTGCAACCAAAAAAAGATCAGCCCTTGATGCCTTACGTAATGCGGCTATCGATTCACTGTGCAGGTTGGTGCGCGCGTTTATCTTAAAATTCAGCATTACTGTCCAATCATATTCCTGAAGTGTTCTTTAGAGTGTATTGTTTTATACAGGGCTTTGAAATCGTCATTGAGTGTGGATCCAGATAGTGTTCAAGCCTGTCTTGCAAGCTTGTCATCGAAACTTTTTGTTTGTTCCAGCATCAATAACTCGTAAGTTTGTTAGTTTTATGAAAAATAGGCTAGTTCTTCTATAAGTAAACCTGCGGTAGTTTAGAGCTATAGAAAGTTGTGCAAAAAGAAGTTGGGGAAATGTGTGTGGACTGAGAGGGCCAATTGAGGTGCACAATTCCTATCATTATTGAGACTGTACTTTTGTTTCCGTTGATACGTTTTATTCACATGGTATTTATTTTTTTCAAATCTGATTACGACAGTTCTTAAAGTATTCAGTGAATATCTTGCATTTCATAGTCGAATTTAGAAACTGTAGGACATTTCTTTCCCGATTAATAAGCTAACACGATGTTGACAAAAATTTTTATTAGGCAAACGTTTCGGCATTTTCATCTTCTTCTTCAGAACCGGATTTATCCTAGTCGATTGTCCACATTCATTTGTGCTCCCGTTCGTCCTTCATATTCGTTGGAGTTTCTTCCTAAGTGCTATGTTCGAGCGGTTCTCCACTCAGGAAGATTCGACTCGAATGGCTAGAAGACCCATAATGCGAGAAAGAACGGCTGTGGACAATCAACTCGGATTAGTCCGGCTCTGAAGAACAAAGCGGAAGAGCCGAAAGAAACGTCAGTCGAATAAAGTTCTTTATTAACCACTGTTAGCTTATGAGAGAAGAAATACATGTCGTTTCATAATTTTAACTTTTAATTTGCTGCCTACTGCAGTTCTTCACTGCAGGTAAAAAAAACTAGCTGATAGACAGGCGAAACTAAGGTCTCGCATGGTGAGGTGGTGAAAGCGTTAACCGAGGAGAGGATAATAGGACGTTCGTTCATCGCCGCTGACACCTGTGTTCCGCAGTTCTACAAATATCTCAGCATCATTACATGTTGATTATCATACCGAGATCAGATTTAGGAAATCCGGTTTTTTAAATGGACATTTCCTCCATCTTTGTAATTAGTAGTAGACAACTAAAGCAAGCACGGTATGATTGTAATGAGCTAGCTACTTTTAGCATTCTGTGGCTCCTGCTTAGCACATTCGCGGTCATATGAGTCATTTTCTTTCTGGCAGGTTATTTTGCTTATATATGTTTAAATTATTGAGCCTACAAGAGGTTGATGAATAGACTTTATTCGGCTAACGTTTCGACGTCTTCCTCTTCATCAGAGCCGATGATCCGAATCAGTGGTCCACAGATGTTCGTCATCTCGATGTGGCATCTTCGTTTCCTTATAGAGTCGGATCTTCCTCAGTGGAGCATATCTCGAATGAGGCATTCTTACCCTGCTATCCTCTTTTATACAGGACGGACAAGGCGGTTATTATAGAAAGCTTTGATTATCCGGCGATAACCACTTGTTTTTCCGGACAATCAGTCTTGAAAAATTCGGTTTTTTGCTTATAATGGATAGGTTGTCTAACCACAGATTTGCTGCTAGGTGTGATTTTTAGAAGACCAATATGTCACACGTAATGGTTCATTAAAAAGATCCTTTGAAGACGAGTTTCGTGCAGAGACACTGCTGTTGGTAAAGTGGGTAGTAAGAAATGCAGCGGACGTTTCAACTGCACATTACTCTTTCCATATGACAGGAATTAAGTAATGTACTATTACTGCTATCGTGAGATTGATATTACCGCCACACAAGATGGGTGTTCCTGCAAGAATTCGTAATTATATGAACACATTGTAAACACCGCGAATGTCTCACGATCTCTGATTTTTTTTTCCGAAGAGGGCATGCATTGAACTTAAAGCATCCCTAGCAAGAATACCCCATCCTATGCTATCAGTTTCACGCAGAAAATATCGCAAAAGCAGTTCAAGATGCAAAAATGGCCACCAGAAATGAAAGGGCTTCAGGCTTTGAAATCATTGCGTGCCTTCATAAATATTTCAGCTAAGTATATTCATTTTTGAACTATCTTCTCCTAAAAGTCGTTTTTGCACGAGTTTTTGAGTAAGTTTTATAAATTTTATTAATTAATTTTACTTTATAATTTTATAAATTTTATAGTTTGGACTTTGCGGGCACTTGATGAACTGTAGACACTGTATTGGTTACCCAGTTACAAAAGGAGCACGTAGTAACTTTGTTGGTTGCGATATCCTGATTGTGAAGTGATTTCTTCGATATCCGTTTGACATTCTTTGTACTTCAGGGTAGTGGCATTGGTTTGCGAAAATGCTATAATGACACTTGGTGGAATAGGAGTTGCATTGGCTGGATCGAAAAATGTTCCGGATATGGTTCTTCAAATTTTCCTTCAAAGGCAAAACTGTTTTCAGCAATTTGTTTTAGGGTTCAAGGCTTTGATTAAATGGAAGGAAGTTTAGATTTGCAAATCCGATATCATTGCTCGACAATGTAATAGTTCAATGTCTTGCAAATATGTGGATTGCTGGAGCGGTATTACTTAACTACTGACTTATTTCTCAGCTTTTCGTTCGCTCTATGACCTAATTTTAGCGATCGATTCACGATGGTGTTATGAATCTGTTCACACAGATTTCGATTGAATCGGGTAACCGTGTTTATTCGCAAGAACCATCAGCGACAACCGATCACAGATACGCGTTAGTTTACCGCTGCTTTACCTTTACCTTAGAAGTTCAAATGTGGGGTACTAATGCATGGAACGGTTGTGAATGACATGTTCTTCCGAAAATATTTCCAATAGTTAGATGAAATCAAAGAACTTACCTTTCCATTCTTTTCACCCCTGGGTTATAGGACTGTTCTTGGTGTTTGAAGTTCTAGTTGTATTTTATGGTCGTTGCAGGCTTGTTCGTTTTGTTTGTTCACCTTCATGAAAAATCTACAGTATGTGATAAAACGAAAGGCCTTCTTATTTCCTGCCTTGATTTCTAGTTTTTTGCATCAAAACTTTGTACTTCCAAGTTCAAGGTTTTTTTAAGGTCCTTTAGATTATCTTCTATTTTTTAAACGTTTTTTTAAAATTTACTTGGAACGAAATCTAATATTGTGTGAATCCTATCGCTTATTTCATTCGGTTCGTTTCTTTGCGTTCATCATCTGCGAAGATCCTTCTTTGAATTTGCTTCTGAGCTTCGAAAGATTCGGTCTTTCTTATCAAATTCATTGAATGAAGGTGGATTACATTCTCTTTGGAATTCGGAAGTAGCCGTATGGAGTTCTGAAGTCTTCAGCATAAGTAAAAATTAATGTTTTTGAATCGGATGAAACTTTCGTTAACAAATTTTGTACCGTTTTCTTTCCGCATTCTAGAAGGTTGGGAGGCTTAATCGACTCCGAGCAAGTCACACCAACGACGTTGCACGTATTATATTAGTGACCTAAAATGGAGTCATCTTTTCCCGTAAATGTGGTTGTTATCCTGTCTCATATTTTCAGTCATGTTTCACTCGCTGTCGATAAAGCGCTGGGTAGGATGACAGACGGTGTGAGTGAAGGTGATGATCAACAAGCGCTATTGGTCCGACTTCTTGAACTTTTCGTGCAACTTGGAATTGAGGGAAGGCGTGTTGGTGAGAAGGTCTCCAAGAGTACTGTGAAGGTGGTAATTCTAATTTTCTAATTTCTAGTAATGTGATTGTAATAATATCTATCTACATTTAATGTCTCGTTATGCTTTTTACTAGTCGAAAACTTGTCAGATTTGCATCATCATCATTTGGTAACCATGATGCTGTATTTGCTGGAAATTCGAGGACAAAATTTTGCAGTTAGGGAGATCCTTAACGAACACCTTATGGTGTAGAAAGTTGAATCTCCTCTCATTGACTTCCACACTGCAAGCGAAAATGAGACAATTGTGGTTTAAATACAAGTAGAGCGAGTCCTGAAAGCATCCATGATTTTCGGTATAGCGGTTGCTGCATTGGTACCATAGGTTGTTCTGACTTAACAATTCTCAGCTGCATCCACTTTTGCTGCGTTTTGTCAAGTGCTCTTACTTTCATTTTATCGCTAACCATGCTTTTTCAGATGTCAACTAGTGCTGGAAACCTCGGTGTTCTTATGCCAAAGATAGCAACTCTTTTGAAAAAAATGAATCCGATTTCCCAACCGTCAACGCGACTTCGAAATTTGTTCAGGTTTCCGAACTTCGACGAGATTCTCTTTTTTTTATTTTGCTTGTCCGTTTCTTTGTTTGTTCATGAATGTTTGGAACCTTGCCTGTGCGGTTTTTTCCGTAACTTATGTATTTTAGAGATTTTTGGTTTTATTGCACCGTTTTGGGTTTCGACGTGGAGTACTCGGGTAGGTGTTCAATTTCTTGTTGATTTTATAGAATTTTCTCTTCTTTGAATAGAGTTGAATGCTATGGATAAGCTTATGAGAACCTTTATTTAAAGCGAGTAGAATTGAATTCATGAAAAAGTTGAGTTTCAGAAACCGATTTTCCCTTAACCTCCGCATGACTGTGTTTTACGTTTATTACGTGTTTTATTTTCATCAGTAAGCTAACGCGAGGTTAATAGAAAAGTTTATTTGGCTCAACAGAGTCTTCAAGAAAAACCATTTTAGTTACTTTTGACTCTTGTTAATTACTTTCAGCAAAGTTGTCAAACACTTTATGAGTGAGAAAAAGGAAAGGGATGTTGGCTGCTATCATTGATGTAAAACGATGAGATTGCGAGTAAATCTAATGAATTTACCGGGAAAAAACAAATTTGCCCCTTTTTTCACAATAGGTGCAGTAGACTCCCTAAATCCTTGTTTATTTTTATCTCACTACAGAAAAACGATGAGATTTTCAGTGCTAGTGTTGCACAGTGGAAAAATGACGGCTTATTTCGACATGAGAGCTCCGAAGAAGTAGTTATTACAGTGAAGAACACCGACTCCCCCTTAACAGTTCCGAGTCGGTGTTTTATATATAACACGTATATATATATATATATATATATATATATATACATCTAAATCCATGTATTTATTTGTTGTCTATTTATTTGTTTTACATGGTCAAACATCGTATGCTTTGCGATTCCCAGTACTTCTTGAATTTGTTTCCTCTTATTTGTCATCCACTAACTTCTTCAGAGCGTCTACGTTCCGCTAAAATTTGATTTTGTTTTCTTCATATATGATGTTGAATGTTAGTCGAGCGTGGTTATTACTAGAACGCCTGGATTTTCTTGAGCCCCACAACTTCGCCATGCACAGTCACCGGCCTTTTATGAGTCGAAAGAAAACTCTTCTACACGTGGCGTAGTGAATCAATGGCAATGTATAACAGAGCACCTTTAACACTTGTCATCGATTTTATGTGAATGGATTTCCACTCATTCGTAATGGAAAAATTGGACCGGCACGAGTTCATATCAAATCATAGCGACTGAGCCGAAAATTAGATATCAAATACATGCATCAGGCATATTCGCTTAGGAGTCGGACGCTATATGTTGTCCACTCTGCTCCACGCTCCATCACCTGCATCACCTGTAGTCCCGTTGATCGTCGAGTGACTCGAGCGAGCGCCAGTAAATCTTCCATTTTTCGCTGTTGCGTGCAAGAGTAGCTCAGTGGATTCTGCTCATTCTAGGGACTCGTCGAGCATCATATATTTCTTCTAGGCTCTTCGTGAAGAACTCCGAGCATTGGGCCGGTGGTGTTCCTGCAGTACGCTTGACATCCCAAGAATCCAGTCTCTAACGGCTCTTGTCCATCGGTTGTCATTCATACGCATTACGGGTCCGTCCCACCTTATCTTCGACTGTTTGGCGTACAGAACGGCATCTTTGATTTTTGATCGTTGACGCAGGTCGGACCTCGGATCCCTTCCCTTACGTGCGTAACACGGGATTCTCCTAGCATCCTTTCGACTGCGTATTCGATAACGCTTAGTGGTCTTTCATCCTGCTTACGCAGCGACCGTTTTTCTCACGCATACGTTAGGGCAAGAAGTACCGCTGAGTTGAAAAGGTGGACATAGAGTTGGGTTTTCCTTGTTCTCCTCACTACATCATCGATGCTCTTAAAAGCTCCCTAAGCCGCTCGTTTCCTTCTGCTTAGCTCTGGAGTTAGGTCGTTCATCATATTGATTTCCCGACCTAGGTAGATATGACTGGAGCATCCGGGGATATTCGTTCCGTTGAGCGTGAATGGGACATGCGAAACCAATCCGTTCTTCATGAACATCGTTTTTGTGAGATTTAGTCGAAGGCCAATCTTTCCACAGGCTTTATCAAAGTCGCCAAGTATACGTCCCGTTTGGCTAATGTTTGGTGTTATAAGGACAATGTCATCAGCAAAGCGAAGATGATGTAATTGCGCTCCATATCACATTAAATTATAAGGATAAACTTTCAGTATTCATGAATCCCTGAGAGATGCGCCATGCATTCAACTTCATCAAGTATCGTTAGAGGTGATTGAATGCATATGTGACCTTTACAGTCACTCGCCATGGCACACCGCTGTATCGAGTCAGTGCTGCTATCCTCCCAGGCAAGTCTGGTACCAATTTGCCGACACCGGAGAGATGGAAAGCTTGGTGAGCCTTGAGTACTGGGATTGACCCAATATGTATTGCAGGGCTCCGACAACTGGATTGCACGCTCTAATATCACATTACTGGAAGAAAAATGTGTTATGCAGGTCTTATACCACTATGGCAGTCTTGGTTGTTTGCACACTAAACTCATGCTTTAATAGAGACCATGTGGAAGCATTTTATATGGACGTGGAGAGGTTCTACAGAGCAGACCAAACATTCTTTAAGGTTGTCATTGGGGATTTTAACTCTGTGTTTGGACCCATGAGAGCGTTTGAAGGAACTGACCTTGGGCCCATGGATTGGGAATGGAACCGGCACGGTGAGCTGCCTCTGCGTTAATCATAACGGCCAAAATGTTTCGTGATAAATCACAATTCCAAAGGCTCTGCAATAAACGCTGGACGTGGAAGTCTCCCAACAGGCGTTATTCAACATATGAAGATTCTTCACAAACTATGTAAGAATTTCACAACCAGAATATCACCTTTCTATAACGATGCTAACATTGACGTAGAAGAGCTCGACTAAACGATACTATCTTATCGAATTATTTACGGTTACATTCTAGAATTTCGTGCAGAAATTAGAATGCTACAACACGAGAGCGAATGTCGATGGTCACCAATTACGCCATTTGGTAACGATATCATTCCTAACACGTGAAGTATTAGCTAAGCGGAATCAATGTTGTCTGAATTCTGCTTAACTTGTGGAAAGACCGATCTTCGACTAAATCTCACGAAAAAGATGTCCCTGAGAAAAGGATTTGCTTATGAGGACCCCTTATTCGCGCTCATCGGAATGAATATCAACGAATGTTCCGGCTACGATTATCAGGTCGAGAAGGCAACGCGATGAACGATTTGCTTCAGAGCTGAATAGGTGAGTGGCTTGAGGAGTTTTGAAGAGCATCGATGATGTAGTGAAGGGAACAAAGAACCCCCGACTCTGCTTATCTTTTTGACGCAACCGTTCCTCGTTAACGTATGTGTCAGAAACGTGGTGTCTACGTACGTATGCGCGATGATACATCACTAAGCGTTGTAGAACGCTCAGTTGAAAGGACGTTGCTAGGAATATCCCGTATCACGCAAGTTAGGGAAGGGGCCCGAAGCTTAAAGCTACGTCAAAGATCAAAAATGAAAATCGCCGTTCTATACGGCAAACTGTCGAAGATAAGATGGGACGTAATGCTTGTGAACGACAACTGATCGACAAGAGCCGTTAGTGACTGGATTGCTCAGGAAGTCAAACGCACAGCTGCAAGACCACAGTCAGAATTCATCACGAAAACGTAAAAGCGAGAAATGATGCTGAACGAATCTCTAGAGCAAGCAGAGCTCACTGGGCTACTTACTACTACAGATTCCGCTTGCTTACCCTGAATTTTGTTGAGCTGTGCTCAAAATGTATCTCAACAGTGGATAAGTGCTGTTGATTCTCGGATACAAGAAGTTTGCGAATTTCATGGATAACATGTGTACCTCTCTGATAGTTACGAATCGTAGGAGCTTCAGCTTATTTCGCATTCTTTTCATTTCCTCGTGCTCGTTGTGCATGTTGGTGTTAATTCAGCGGGTATTATTCCATGAACTACAAATCGCAGCGATAGTGGTTTTCTGTTCTGAATTTACACCACCTTTAGATATGGCAATCTTCTTAACGGTTTACCGCCTCATCGTGGCCAGGAGGTGTTCTTGGTTGCCGGACTGCAATGTACAGCAGGGGGATTCACCTCCCCGGCAGGGTTTCCCAAGCTGAAAAGGAGTCCGGCGTTTCCATCAGGAAGCCTAGCTGAGAGTAAACCAATACCAGGATCTGCCACCGTCCTAGTATCAGTCGCGTGGTGGCAAATCTCCCTCTGATTCACAAGAGCTGCAACTGCCCGTGATGGTGAGGACCTGGGACAGACTTTGGCCAGGCTGACCTCGAGATTCTAGGGAAACACAATGGTTAAACCAGCAAAACTCAGAAAAATGGAGAATATACTGGGGTCCGCACAACCATTGAGGACGGGTCGTTCAAGTATCAAGTATATTACACAGGTCAATACGTAACGCCATTTTGGAAGTGATTGACCATAAATCTTCACGCGTTTGTAATAATATTTTGAACTATGAAGAAGCCATCTTATGAGTTAATGTACGGTGAAAATGCTTCATGCTTTTTTGACAAATACAATAGTTTTGGATCGTCAACAAGTAACGTATTTTCTGTACATTCATAATTGGTTTGTTATACAGTTACTCGGATACCTAGACAACTTCACGAGTAGTGTGAAGCTTTAAGTTCCCACTGAATTCCTACATCATCACCTCGCTCTGCTGAAAACTGTTGTGCTTTTGGGTATACTCTTAATTGGCATGCTGATTCATAAATGGAAATTCGTGATCTGAGCGTAGTTTTGGTTGTCCTGGTTTGTCACCATAGTTTAAAAGCATCCGGGGTCGCTCTAGTTCTGCAATCACAAGCTCGCAACGAAGTTACTTCTACCCATTTGGTCACAAGGACATAAGTATTTCCGTCTCCAGTAGATAAGTAGAAAATTTATGTTAATCGTCTGATTACCAATCGAATGCACTGTGTTGGTTCAAAACGGACGAAAATAGGTTGGTGTGGAAGTCTGAACAATAGTAACAGCCGTATCAAATACGTCGAAGTTAATTTTTTTAAAGGATCTTCGAAGACATAGAACAGTGGAAATATTTGCATAAGAATAAAGGAAAATCATTGGAACGAAACTATTATTTGGTCTAATCTATTAGATGAAGAAATAGAGACAAAGCTTCGACGTATTGGCAAGTGCAATTCAGTGATCTTGATATGCGAGAGCTTTTTTGCAACTTCTGGAAGAACTAGATCATTACAGGTTTACTGGAGCAATTTATTCTAAATAAGTTCTTAATTTTTTTCTTTTTTAGGGTTATGGCCTGAAGACTGGTACAATGCGGTGTGTGTGATCGCCACAAAATCACCCGTACTGATCGCGCACGAAAATCTTCGTTCAGAGCTTATCGACAATGCAGCGATCAAGAGCGATGCGATATCACCTGTTTGTTTTTCCACTCTAGTTGTAATTATATATGTATGCATATACATGTACATATATATATATAAACATGTGCGTGGATACATAAACTACATATGTATATATGTGTATATGTATATTATGTACATATAGCTTGTATACGAGATACACATATACAGTATACATATGCAGTTCGTTTTCGTTTCAGAACGAGCTGCAAGAATTTCGTAACACAGTGTGTGGAGTGCTAAATCATCAAACAGATGTTGTTCCGATCATAAATAGGATGGACTTTGCTCAGTGCATCTACTTGTTGTCAGTCCTACGTATGGAGAAAATGAGAGTGGTGGGTGCCATTCATCTTGGTTTTTATTTAAATGAGTGCTAAAATATGAATTTGACACTCGGCAAAGACATACAAATTATAATTGTATTTCTAATTGTACTTATCTTAGTTGAAAAAGGTTCAATATGAGATGAGATGCGCTGAGGGCGGTGTGGTTAGAGGTGCGGTGTAATACATGCATGGTCGATTTGTTCGATTCTAAATAGGCTATTCAAGCTCGTCGTCGTTGAGGGTTCGACAGATTGTTGCCAAATTTGTCTGAGAAAAACTCCTAGATCCAAAAAGGCTATAGATTTCCAGTGGTGAGAATTTGAGGGCGATATAGAAGAGCTGTCTCAGTATTCTAGAGATAATCCTCTTGACTAGTGCTTAATGACCTCAATAAAATAGGCATAGATAGTTGAGATATTTATTTATATGATCTTATAAACTCGTAGTGGGCAGTCCCACTCGTAACGTCACGGTTCTGAGGAACGCTAAATCGCCGAAACGTCAGCCGTCGACCAACAACACCAACAACAACCACAACGGCAACGATGACCTATACCAACCTCGCATCAGCTAAAGAAGATCAGTTTATAAGATCATATAAACAAAAATAAGCACCTGAAATAGCAGTCAAACGGAAAGAGAGAAGTGTTGGGACTCGCACAATATGTAGATTTGGCTCATAAAGAACTGAATGCAAGTAAATGAGTAGAGGTCTTTTGTTTCAATGTTTAAAGCAGTCGCGGTTTTCTCACTTAACGCTTGGCAATCTTTAATTTCTAAATTTTGTGTATTTCGAAGACGTTTTTATTTTATGCAAAGCATGGAAAGACTGTTACTTTCAATCCTTAGAGAATTTGATATAAAACATCAGTGTATTAGTTTTGATTTCTAGGTTCATGCGGAACACAAGGAAGCTCTGCATGAATTTTTCAAGTATCTGGACAATAAGTAAGATTAGTGAATCTTTTACTTTATGCTTTCTGTTATTTGTTACTTTTCTTCCTTTCTACAGGACGATTCGCAAGGATAAGGGCGGTATGTGGATTTGTTTGTTAGCAGGAGCGTCCGTTGTTTTCGAGGCTTATCTTGAAGCTCACAAGAAGGTTCGGTTGCGATGTATCTGGATCTTGAGGCATATTTGTTAGAACATAAAATTCGTAGGCAGATGTTCGACGTTAGCAAAAATAAGTTGGAGATGCATCTTGACATATTTACTGCGATTCCAATTTTTGACAACTGAGTAACCACTGTTTATCTTGAGTACATTTGAGCATGAGAATCAGTTGTTTGGAGATGGTGTGGTGTTAGTGTGCTCTCGGTTTTACATAGCATTTTTTAGCATTAAATTTGACTCTTTCTCTTTTTTTGCAGAATAGGACAGATGATTCTTCAAATCCAGTTTTGGAGTACCATGCCCAGTTCTTGTTGGTGCAATTCAATCATAATCTCAAGGAGGTAGTTTGAAGAACGTGTTCTCTAATTCAGCAACTGAATGCTAGTTGTATTCGAACTTACCCGGATTTTTAGCGTATGTACTTTTGTAGACCGTTTCCATCAAATGCTTCTAGCACATGACTGGTTTTAGTATTTTTCCTTAATTTTTTTAATATGCATGATCTCTATACCTCGTTGTACACTTGTTTTAGGTTCGTAGATGTGCTGATGCTTGCTTATCCCAATTAGTGGATAAATTCCCATATCTGTTGTGGAACGGACGGGTTTTGACGACAGCTTTACGACTACTACAGGCACGCATTTTATCCCATATAAAATCCTATTATATATTGTCACAGTTTTGGGTATCCGCCGCTTGGAACTAGGCATAATTTTTACCGCGCGTGATGTGCTTTGAAAAATTCGTCCGGACAAAGTTTACTCACATATTCTTAAGTATAAAGAATAGCTTTTTAGAGGCTACATCTATCTTCTCTGTGTTGGGTAGGGTGTCGTTCAAACACAAAAGACATAACAAAGAGGCCTTTCAAGGAAAAGTGAGCCAGAAAGACTAAGTGTTGGAATCAATCAATACGTCCAATCTGTCCCACCTAAGTGTACATTAATATCAATGCCTATAGCCATTTATGCGCTAAATTTCTCAAAATTTTGGAATTTGTTTATATTCAGTAAGCATTCAACAAGTACCCTAAAAGGATTCGCAGTTTATTAGAAACTAACTCCAACTTTCCTCGTTTTTTTTCCGATTTCTTTTTTTTAAATTTAGCATTTCTTAGGCTTTACAAATGAACCTTGTACAAGACCCAAATTGTTGTAACTCCACCTTTGCCATGGAAGGTCTTATGTGGACTATTCAACTACAGGTGGGACGTCCGTTAAAATACTTGTTACCTGCTTAACTTCTCCCCATTCGTTTATCCTCTTGAAAATTTCAGGATTCCATTGATGGTCGCACAACAGTAGTGAAAGACTTCTCACAACGCTGCGAACAGATTTTACAGGAAGCAATGAAGTGGGCGCCTGCCATAACGCGTAGCCATTTACTGGTTTGTCACATACTGGTTCCTGAACTATTCATGCTGTGAAGACATTTTCATAATCCCATGGTTTACTAGTTTTCAAGAACCTCTTTCACCTGCAGACATTCTTGAATTTGAAGGACTTGTGGGACGAGGGAATTCTCTTTTTTTACGGTTAATTTTCGAGTTGTTGAAGCGTCTCTAACTAGGAGTATGTGTCGTCGTTTGGTGCTCCATTTGATACCACGCTGCAACTAGCAATGGATGCGATGATCAGCGCAGGTTCAGAAAACACCAGCATGTACTTGTCTTCTCTTCACATGAGGAGTATGTACCTTGGACAGGTGCGTTTCAGTATAGATTGGTGCTGAAGGTAGCAAACCCAAGACCAAACACAGCTTTAGGTGAAAGGCATGTTAGCCTCTCGTACAGTTAGCGGTGCCGAAGTGACAGAATGTGCACTTGTGAGGCGACTGGATGCTGACTTCGAAGCTGCAATTGCGCGTGATTCGCAGGAAGACCTTCAAAATGCTGTCATGCTGCTAAGTGCTCTGTTCGTTACCTTGAAGGGTGATTGCTTCCACGTTAATTAATCTAGGAAGATTATTTCTCCACTATTAAGTGGTTGCCATTTGTTAAACCATTTTGGGCGGCGCACAATTTTTGTGGTGGCGTGTGCAACAGGGCCTAATTCTTCATCGATGTTGTCCTAAGGGCCCGGCTATATAATACCGATACCCATTTTGTTCCACATTTTCTATACATATTGTTTGTCTGCATAGAAAGTTTGTTCGTGAACAACAGTCTAGGAGATATCTCAATGTCTTTTTAATCAACATCTCTGTGGCGGGACGAACGAACTCGTTTGAAAAACAGTTTCCCTGTAAATTATGAAGTGGAGGGATTAGGTTAATAGGACAAAAGGAAAATGAAATAGTTTTAAGAATAGATTAAAGGTAAGCGTCTCAGAAAATGTCTGATACAACGTCTATATTGATTAAGCCAAGATAAGTCATTTAATATTGAACTGATAAGAATCTACAGATCTTTGCCAGCAGGATAATTTATCTTTTTCTTCGAAGACAAACTGCTCACTTTCTGAGGCCCATTGAACTTGTTATTTTTTTTCTTTTACTACATGACCCATTGTTCGTGTACATTTGGCTTAGAAATTCTAAAAATGCGAGTTTCGTCTCCAGTTCGTTGGAAATTGCAGTTCTAAACATATTTAAAATCATTTTATAGAAAAGAACTCATGCACGCTTAAGGTGATGGACCAAAATCTTTTATGTAAATCTATGATGTTTTCACCACCTCAAATGCTATGCTGATTGGGAAATTGTTGTCCGTTGTCGAAATTCTAACCCAAACATCACACAACATGCGTGGTAGGATAACTACTGCTTAGAAAAGGATTGGTAGAAAACCTCTCCACAGCGAAGCAAACCGTGGGAAATAAATTCATTGCGATTAAGGGATTTTGGTCCACTTTGCTCCTAAGAATGCATTTACGTTCATTCCTCTGTGGCGTTGTGTTAATACTGTTGCAGCTGGTAGATATGACGCAGGTGATATTATGATATCTTTGCCTTAGCATTTAAATAGATCTGAATATTGTTTGTAGTTCGTGATACATGAAATTTCTTCAGATATAACCATGCTTGAATCCTCTTTCTGTCCGTCTCTGTGTATATGGTACTTTATATTTTGTTTTATAAAAGAAGTTGTGAATATAGGTTTGGTCACTTTCAGAAGTGAACGAGCATATTCTTTCCGTTTTGGTTCGATGTCCTTTGCGTAGTTTCAAGGAATCCACAATGCGTCTATGTGTCCTTAGCTGGAATTGGCTACTAGCAGCACGAACCGATATTCAGAACATTGTCAGCACTGTGCACAATCTTTCTCGTTGCTTTGAAGATTTGCTTCAGTCTTGTTTGTTTAGTTTCTGCGGGAAATGTGCTTTGCATGGGCGGAATCATGTCGTCAAAGGCTGGGGATCTATGAACGAATATCACCAAGATCACCCCTTTGTGGACAACTTCCAGAACCACCAAAACCACCCCATTACAAGCCTCATGCAATATGGCTTAGTGTGAGTGTTTAACATGATTTAAATAGTATCGTGTATAACCGCTTAAGTTTTCTTTATTGTCTTGATTTCCATATAGGAAACAGGTAGCGTTAATTATCGTCAAATTAAGATTCTTTGCGCTATTAATTATGCTTCAGTTACAAATGCATTCTGTAATTGAATAAATTTTATCAGTTCATCGCTGAACGGGTTGACGTTGCAAAATATACCAGTCGAGAACAGCTGGATATACTGGAGAAAATGTTCGCGCAGGCAGTGAGTTTAGTTATTGGAAGTGGGCCAGCAATAGTTGCGGTTTCTCCGGCTTTGTCTATTCCCATTCTTGACCAGCAAGGTTTGTGTTTCATGTTTTAGATTTTTATTTTTGCACAGAATGTGCTTTCAGAGTTTCACGTTGTTTACTTAGTAGAGCTTGTTTTCGATTCCATCTACTTTCCTCTTACTTCCTTTCCCAGTTTTAACACTTTCAATATTTCTCTTTTCCCACTTACAAATTTTTAGTGAGACTTTGCTCTCACCTGATTCTGTTGCTGCTTTCTTTCCTCCAATATTTTTATGTTGTTCTAGAGCTAGAGCTGTTCTATAATCTAGAGCTTCAAGCAGTATTGCTTCAAAAGGTTTTGCTTCATGGTTTCTTTGTAGACGAGCTTGAGTTTCTGATGACAAAAGTTTCTTCATGGATTTCAACCTCTGCTTTAAATTTTCTGAAAGACGAAAGCTTCATTTTATGGCCACTGTGGGATTTTGTTGCCTAAGCTTTGTAGCCCCTACTTTTGGAACTAAAGAAATTTTGCGCTGTTTTCCTTTCTCCAACTCTTTGCTATAGTATCTTCGCATCTTCGCAGGCATTGAGATGTTTCAGTCAAACGTCTTCGAATATGTAAATGTTTATTTTAATGTTGGTTGAAGCTGGACCGGGATAGAACCAGCACCGTGCTCGTGGTGATCAGCATCACTACCATTGTTCTATCCCCTTCCAACTTGCATTAGGATTTTCAAAAATCCATGATCCGCTTTTTTTATGTAACTGCTATTTTTTAAAATCGTTTTCTTCTATTCTGCAAAGGTTTTTTTCTAGTTGCAACGGGCATATCACTTAAAATTGCTAGAAAGGAATGATTGATGTTCTTAATGATGGTGACAGCTAGAGTGGAATTCTGTTTCATGTAGTTGTTCTTCGTCATTTTCGTTGACGTTTTACAGTGTCACTATCACGGAGCATTGAATCTGTCGGAGTTAGGTTCAGACTTCTGTCGTGTGCGCTCAACATTCTTCAAGGAGAAGCTACCACAGCGAGGCCATCCAATAATGTTATTCGCCAACGAGTCTATGCCTCCGCTCTCGATTATTTCACGTTAGATTTTTTGTACTTAGAATTCATATTTCTCTTGCAAGCAGGAAACCTTTAATGGTCTCAGTGGAACATTCTGAAAAACGCTGATACTGTTTTGTGAAATGAGTGTGACAACTCCAGCTTCTTCTAAACCTAAACTGCAATCTAATATTTTCAGTCTTACAACATTCATAGTAGATAGGCATCATTGTTGTCAGATCTAAGTAGTTGTATTCATTATATTAATAGTTGCAAAGCTTCGGACCGCAGGTGTATGCGGTGGGGAACGAACGCACTATTGTCCTTTCCGGAGCGTAGCGCGTTCACCACCACACCACATGGTCCTTCGTTTCGCGTGTCTCTCAGCTAGTTCTATCGATCTTTTGCCATCAGCAACCACCCGTCAGCGGGATTGATCTGGGGGGCCCAAATCGGCAACGAACCCAATTAAGCTGAGGCCGCAGTTATAATCACAATTTTAACTTATTATTTACTGCCTACTCTTTTTAACGGCAGGGCATTGCGAAATATAACTTCAATGATGCTGAGATATTTGGGTCCTCCACATCAATCCCGCTAATGGGTGATTGCTGATGGCAAAAGATCGATAGAACTAGCTGAAAGACGCGAAACGAAGGACCCGCGTGGTGTGGTGGTGAACGCGCTACTCCCCGGAAAGGAAAATATCGCGTTCGTTCCCCACCGCATTCACCTGCGGTCCGGAGGTTTGCAAATATCTCAGCATCCTTGAAGTTATATTTCGCAATATCCTGCCGTTAGAAAGAGTAGGCAGTTAATAATAGGTTGAATTTATATTAATAGTCTTCTAAAAAATGCTTATGTTTCCAGATTGCCACCCCAAGGACCAACACAAGCGCACGCACAGTTAAGATATGATGTAAGGCTGTTAATTTCGTTTTGGCAAACACTCTACGCTGATGGAAAATTCATAAAGAAGGAAGTTTTCTTACAAAAAGGTAAACGTCTGATGTGGACAATGTTTAGCTTGTAATGCATCATTCTAGGTGTTTGAAACCAATTTTTTGTTATGGTTCAGTCGTAAATTTCTCATCCGCTTAATCCTTACTTCGACCTTTTCGTTTTTTTGAAAGTGGGTGACAATCCTACTAAACCGTACCCGCGAAGGCTACATCAAATTCTTGGAACTCATTACTTTACAAGCTTTAGCAGGAGTACTTTTTTTAGCCTGACATTAACCATGTAAGGACATTGCGCTCTTGAGTTATGTGAACTGTAGGAGTAAAATTACAGGCATCGTTCACTGTGCCTAACAAATGTACTTTCCATGTTCTGTCCAGTGACAGATGACTTGCTGATCATCGATGTGATTATTTTCGCTACCGTCGTATCATAGGGATGTAGCTTAGTGGACCACAATATATTTCAGCGTTTCTGTGGCTCGTTTATGGCCACCACCAAGACAACATAGTTTGGTAGAAGCATTGGCTTTAGGTTTAAAAAAAAAACTTGGCGCTGATCATTCCCTAAGGGATGCGTCATGCATTCGATTTCATTAAGTATCGTTTGTGGGTGATCGAGTGCATATCTGGCCTTTACAATGGTTTCATGGTGGTACACCGATACATCGAACCGGTGCTGCTATCCTCCCAAACACGTCGTACCAATTTGCTGACCCCGGAAGGACGGAAGGGTCGGTGGGCCACGGGCGCGGAGACCGATCCCATGTGTGCGTTGCAGGGCACCTCCGACCACTACGCCACGCGTTCCTTGGGGCCTAGGTTTACAACAAAATAATTTAAGGAGTTAAACGAATAATTGCCCACCAAACTCACTGTTTATTATTCAGATAATGAACTAGTGTTGCCAACGAACCTTTCCTATTTGGATCCGCTTGCCGATCAACTGGCACAACGGTATGTCTACGACTTTTCTGTTTGTTAAAACGTCATTGAATCATATCTTCAAGTTTCATTTACTTTGTAATCAAGGGGTAGAATTCAGCAGAGCGTAAGTGAGACTTCTTTGCAATACACACTTTTCCACTTTTTTTAAAAATTTAGTACGGATTCATGTTATAAACAAATTTGCTCACTTTTGTTGATGAAGAGTGGATAAAAATGACAACCAGTTAGTCCCTGCCGACTTTAATCAAGGGAAAAGAAACGGTGAAAAATGAGTGGGTGAAAATGAGTGAAAATACGAAGGCATCATCTGCACACGTCAAAATGGAGTATGTTTCAAAAGTGTGCAATAATACATTGGGCAATTTAGGAGATACCTAAAATATTAAGAAAAAACAGAAGCTAGTTATAAAGTGCAGAAGAAAATCGAATTAGGATTCGACATCTCATTCCTCGTGGCGCCACCCAAAAATTAAGCATTGCGCCACACATCATGAAGGACTTTGCTGGAGGCATTCGAGTGTGTTGAGAATGTAGGAAAAAGGAAAATCTGCGACGAGTCGGTTGGATGACTTCTTGAAGACGTAACAAACTTCTGTTGTTGGTGAAAACGATAGCTGGTGGTTGGTGATAGTGGCAGATGAGTTCCCATCGTAGAGACGGCACAAAGAGGTTTTATGCTTATCTACTAAGACGTTTAGTCAATAGATGGCGGTAAGAAGGCTGATCTGTTGTATGCAGCAAAATAGCATTGTACTCTGTTCCTGTTCAGAGAAATCGCCCATCAACTTGAGATACTTTCGTTCCGTGGACAACACCGAGAACGTGTTCTGGTGGTTAGTCGGCACATATAGTATCGTTACGATCGTCACACATTTCATGTCTAGAAGTACAAATCTAAAGCTGAACACTGATTGCTAGTTTTACTGTGAGAAAAGATGTGGTGTATGGTAGAGATGCCGCTCAGCATCTGGAAATGGGATGGAAGTATTTATCAATTACCTAGAATTCCTATGTCCTCACCTGGTTCTTTCAGATTCAAATCCTAATGCTGTAGTCACATATATAAAGCGGTCAAAATCCATTGGTGATAGAGGACGGCTCTTCAGGAATTGTATGCACCTCGCTGCCATTCTGATTCGTTTCACCTCTTCGCGTGATATTTTCCATAAAAGTGACCTCTCTCATAGCAATCGGTGGATCGTTCCTGCTAGGGTCGTGCACACCTTAGAGTGTAGTTTGCTAATTTCGTTTACAATTACGTGTCGATGGTCGATCTAGTGGAATCCTGAATTCTTTTGGAGCGTATTGGAGGTTTCGAAATCCTTTATAATACAATGCGAAATACTCGCAGAACGTTATGTCGTATCAGAAATCATATTTTCGAGCGTAAAAAGTTTCACGGAAAATCTTTTTTTGTGTTGTTATTGAAGAAATTCGATTTTTTTATTGCCACCAGATCATCGGCACAAACATGGCACGCCAATACATCGTCCAGCTCATACTACGTTAACACGCTCACACTATCGAAAACTGCCATGAGTTCCACACGTGGAAGTTAGTTTTGGTAGTGTTTCTTTTGATCATTTCTTCATCGCCCTATTTGTTTGTTTGTTCTTAATTTCCTATATCTTCCTAACGGTTTATCGCCTCATCGTTGCTGAAAGGTGTTCCTGGGTGTCGGGCTGCCATGTATAGCGGGGGTTCATCCCTTCAGCAGGACCTCTGAAACTGAGAAGGAGTCCAGCGTTTCCATCCAGAAACACAGCTAAGAGTAAACCAATACCACGATCCACCACCGCTCTGGTATCGAACCAATCGCACGGGGCAATTTTCCATCTGAGCCACAAGAGCTGCGACTGCCTGTAATGGTTCCTGGGGCAGACTTTGGCTAGGCTGTCCTTGGTACTCCAAGGAAGCACGATGGCTAAGCTAGCAAGCCTCCAGAGATTGGAAATTATGCTGGGGCCGGCAGAACCAGTGAAGACTGGCCATTCAAGTATCCAGGTTATTTCTCGTATGTTATTTACATTTCGTATTTCCAGCTGCAATTTGCTCTTACAAGGGCAAAGTTATGTTTGTTTAACTAAAAGTAGTAGTTCCACTTGTAGTCCTTTGAGATATTGTTCTTCCAAAACTTTGGTACTTTTGATTTTTTATATATATTTATATAACTCTTGAGTTTTAAGTGTTTTGGGGAGAGCAGGTAATAAAATGACATGTGGTTAATAAACGTTTTTCCTCTGCGAAAGAAAGGTGTTTACCTTACTCCAGATCTTCTTCAAATATAGTTTAAAGTATTTACAAGTATAACGCTCTATACCTGTAACCACTATAAACAAATAAAAGAAGTGATAGAAATAAGAAATAAATAAAAACAGGTAAAAACAAAAATGATAAAAATAAGAAATACAATTAAACTATATTTGAAGAGGGTCTACAGTAAACTAAACACTTTTCTTTTCGTGGACGAAAAACGTTTATTAACTACGTGGCACATTTCAGTTACAGGCATGTCTCGCAAAGTGGTCGTACAAGATGGAAAAAATACGATGGACGTAGAGAAACAAGTGAAAATTTTTCTAAAATGGAGGAATTTTATCTTGTTACTAGTGGTTTGTCTTCATCTTTTTTCTTGAGTGTTATATAATCGTCTTGCTAGTAGTCGTTGTATTGTCTTAGTTATCTCATGAATGTGCTCAGTTGTATGACTGTTGTAGGGAAATGAGATTGAACGTCTATGTGTATGGTTGAATCCTCTTGGTGATGCCACTGAAGAAGGTGTTGCTCCAGTGGAGCAATGGATGAAAAGCACACTGCCTGGTGAGGAACAATTTTAACTGCCTTTATTCATCCTGTTGGTAACTAGTTTGTACGAAAATTTAGTAACTGCGTTGTAGAATTTATTTGAAGAGACTTAGATGTCTGAGGTCTTTTCCTTCATGTTTTCATTGTTCGTTCCACGTTTATTCATTACATATGTAAAATTAGCTTAAATTTTACTTTAAATGCACTAAACGATAACTTTTAGAATCCAGAGTTGAAGCGCGTGTTCTGAAAGAAAATATGAGATTGGCATGGGAAATCTCACCTGAATTAGCTATTCATCTACCTGCAAGGTTGGATTTTATTACACTTCTACTTTACTTAAGCTTTTCTTCAATATATGATCATTCAGCTTCTTTAACAAAATATATTATTATAAAAACATTAGGGATGCAGATAACACAGTGGTTGGGGTGGTTTGTTACACTGCATGCGTGGTCAACCAAGCCCTCCATTCTTCCGAGATCCGAAAATTTGTACCAGATTTGTGTATTGGGTCCCAAATTAACTAATTTCTTGATGAAAACCTATGTGCGTTTTAGAGAGCTAAATTTCCAAGGAGAATGAAGTTTATCAATATTCAAGGACATTCATGAAAAAGACTATATCTACAAGTGGCTGTCGAATTCAGGCTCAAGTTCAGTGACCATAGTGCACGAAGGATACAAGATAACGGAATAGTGTAGGAAACACTGGTATTCATAGTGTATTTGAAGACGGGTAGCGTAATAATTAAGGCAATTCTTTACCCTGCATAACCTTTATGGATTAAGAAATTCGTGACGGTACTAGTTCTTCAATAACTCTCTATACGGAGTAGTTAAGGATTCAAGAGCTTAACTATCTCATGGAAGGAGCTTTGCGCCCGTGCAAAAATGTAGTGGTTCTCAAATAGTAACTTTATCTTTGCGTTCTGAAATAGTGATTTGATTTTTGCATTTTAAACGTCTAGAGTCCGAAACTACTTCTTTGATAACTTTCTACGATCATCACGTTCTTCTGGGCAAAAAATCCCACTTGGTAATTTGCCTCCGCAGTCGAAATAGGAGGCTCGAGCAGAAAAAACCAACGACAGAAATACGATTTCTGGACTCCATGGCATAAAATGTTTATTGTGTCAAAGGAAGAGAAATGTATTTTATTGGCATAAAACTGAAAATTCTAGTGGTTTTCATTTCGTTCTTTATTATGAACTGAAAAATGTTGCTTTCATATTGAAAACGAATATAAACCGACGAAAACCCGTTTATTCTGTCGATTGAGGTTATTATTCACCTCGATGAGATTGAAATTTCATCGTGACGGGTAAAGCAGACGTATGCTATATTGCTAAAGCTACATAGGTTATAAAAGTATTTTTTTCAATGTTTGAAGTCACTGTGAATTTGGCTGGCTGTCTCAGATGTTGGAAGACTAAGGTGCTGTCGTTGACATACGTTTTGAATCCAATGCACCACATCGTGTGTGTGTTGAAATAATTTGACTATGGATGTTTTTGTTTTATCTACCAAGTGCAGCACTGGTAGATAAAACATAAAAGTTTTTTGTATGCAGCAATGAAATACTAAAATGCACCGTCGTTTAGATTTCGTACTTGCCCAACTCTTCTTGATACTCTACAAGAAATGGTGCGGCTTCAGCCCGAAGCTGTTTCTCATCTTCCCGAATCTCTTCCATTCTTCTTAGGGGACACATCTGTTTTTGAACATACAGATGTGAGCCTTTATAGAAATTTTACTTATTTCTTTCCTATTATACTTTCTTTAGATTGCACATGTGTTAACATGGGCTGCCTGTTCACCTGTAATGGCGCTGTCATTGCTCACGCCTAGGCAATACCCTCTTCATCCAGTCACCGTTCAATACGCCGTACGGGTTCTACGATCATATCCAGCTGATACGTTGCTCATGTATATCCCACAACTTGTTCAAGCAGTTAGACATGATACGGTAAGGTGTGAAATTTCAGCCTGTTATTAAACCGAGATGAACTAAAATGTGATAGAAGTCTTTTTACTTATTAATTTCACAAGTTCACTACTGGTTGAGGATGGAAAGCCAAACCCTAAACGTTTATTTTGAAACCGTTGAAGTCATTCTGGGAAAGAAATGTGCACATTTCTTTCCTTGGTGGAGTGAAAGTGCCTTCCCTACCAAGGTTTACTCGAGGCTTCGTTCGGAGGCTGTGTGTCTACCGTCGTTTTTGATGTTGTGTTATTCACACAACATCACACTAGTAATTATAGTTTACAATTGGTTTTGTTTCATATCTCTTTCTACTATGTAGTAGTTAAAGAAATGTCATTCAGATGGGGTATGTTGCTGAACTAATAATTTGGCTTGCTCGTCACTCGCAACTTTTGGCTCATCAGCTGATTTGGAATATGGAGACAAATATGTATATGGATGAGGACAGTAAGAACAAAGATCCTGCCTTATTTGATGCGTTAAATGAAATTGTTAAGAAGGTATGTTTTCATTCTGTTCTTTCTCTGAGTTTCAGAATGAGTGCTTCAATTTTTGCTTCGATGTCTAACATTCTTTGTTTTTGTTAATTCCCACTAAAATCTTTCTTTTTAATACTCATTACTAAATCTTTTTCATATAGTACAAAAATGTCGTGTTTTTTAGACGATCAATCAATTGGAAGGTGCAGCTCGTCGTTTTCACGAAGCTGAGTTCTCGCTCTTCCACCGACTGACAGCCATATCTGGTACAATCAAGCCTTATCCAAAAGGCGAAGCGCGAAGAAAAGCATGTCTCAAGGCTCTGGCTGAGGTTATTCGAGCTTTTAGAGTATTATATGTAATTCTGTCGGTATGGCAAAGGACACGTGTCTCATAAAGACTCGAGATCGGAAGGGCTAATTATGGCGAATGTTAATTGTAAAGAATTCTCGCGCTGTACTTAGTTTGATACATCGTAAATAATTGTTCAGCACATTCGCAACAATGCCCATTGATTCAAACGGGATCAAATTACTAGGAAAGTTTTTAATCAAGACATATCTCGGTAAGGAATGGATTGATGTTTACGGCTGCCATGCATATTTTTAAAATTCGAAAGAATTGGGTTTGATTTTGAATCCTCTGAAGCTTGATTTTCAGATGATTTTAGACAAGATAATATCGTGAAAAAATCGTATCTACTCTTGTACGTATAAGGTGAAGACTTTTCTAAAAGTCTGTCGAGTTGTCACGTTCTCACATACTCTCACTAACAACTGTTGCCAGTTTTCGAAAAACCCTCGCTGTCGCGATAAGGCTAAATAGACTTTGAAAATGTTAGTGAATTGTTTTGGACATGGAGGGTGAGGGTGTATTACATCTAGTGTAGTTCGCATGCGAGAACCTCTAAGAAACTATTAAAGCATGTAAAGAAAATCGTCATTGAAAGGAAATATGACTGTACCATGTTTTCGAGCAGTGGTGTACTTCGATGAGTCAATAAAATATAAATTACTATATGTATTCTTTCTTTGATGAGCTTACACGAGGTTGATAATAATATTTATTTTCGGCTAACGTTTCGACGTCTTCGTCTTCCTCA